ATAGTTGTTCTACATTCTAATGAACTAGTGCTGTGTAACAGGTGTTCTACATTCTAATGAACAAGTGCTGCATAGGCAGTTGTACTACATACATCCCAGTGAACAAGTGCTGCATAGGCAGTTATTCTACATACATCCCACTGAACAAGTGCTGCATAGGCAGTCATTCTACATAGATCCCAGTAAACAAGTGCTACATAGGCAGTTATTGTACATAGATCCCAGTGAACAAGTGCTGCATAGTAAACAAGTGCTACATATACAGCTGTTCTATATACATATTAGCAAATGAGTGTGCTACAAATATTCCTGTTCTACATAAATCTTACAGAGTTAATTTGAAGTAAATTAAAAACAAAGCAAATTAATAAAAATATGTTAATGTGTAATTTAGTGAAACAAACATCCATTTAATGAGTGAGTTATTTTTGATGTATTTTAACCCCCAAAAAATTAATTACTGGGATTGTTTATCAACATTTGCTAACAATGATTTTCTAATTATTAACCTACTTGGTTTTCATTTTACATATGACAAAAAAAAAAAAAATTCACCACCTTACAAGATGCTCAAAATAACTAAACTACATGGTCTGTTTTCCTGAAAACAATAATGTAAAATTGTACTAAAATAACAATCACAATGTAAAAATTACTTTATAAAAGAAACTGATTAATCAGTTTTAAAGTTCATGAAAGCATATTTTTTACAAGATAATGATCATAAAAACTTTCCAAATCTAACAATGAAAGGCAAACAAACACGACACAGTGTACACAATTTTCTTTATCAGAAACATCGGTGCCTTTGCATTTCATTCTAAACATAATTTTTTTTATACTTTAAGGTTTAAGTGAAATAGGTAAATACATTTACAATTATCGAAAACATACTGGACAAAAAGTAACATACAAAAATTTTATATCACTAACCCTAATTTGTAAGTAACTAATCCTTCCCACTTAATCTGAGCCTTCTTAATCACCTCACAATTAATCAACAATTTAAAGTTAAGGTTTTTCTTACCTGAAAATGTATTTTAGATAGATAGTCGCCTCCTCTCTGCATGATGAACAGATATTATCTTGTGTGCACTGTAACCTACCTTAGCAACACTTTAGCACCACGTAAAAAGATTATTTCAACAATTTCTTTTGTTCTGCCACTTCTCTTAGGCAAAGAGTGTTTCCTGCTTGATTTGGATGCAGTCTATCGCCAAGTAGTGTTTCATTAAGCCAACCCCCCCCCCCTTCAGATATGTTATTCTACATTTGTTAAATTTTAATCAAAATGACATTTCAAGCAAAAATAAATAACCTTTTAACTAGCAAATTAACAGAACATGGTTTGAAAAAGGATATGTTAAAATGCATTAAGAAACTACCAGTAAAAAGATAAACATGAATACATTTTGAAGGAAAACTTTCTAATTGCAGAACATATTTTATGTGTGATAAATAAGAAATGTTTCACAAACTAGCCATTTCAACTAAAACCATATTCTTTGCATGCAGAAAAGATTGCTAAAAAAACTTTACAAATTAAATATCGAATGCTGGAGTATCAGATAGTTGCGGTTCCAGTGTATATAATTCTGTCAGGTACTTGCCAATGAACTGAAAAACAAGAAAAAAAACCTTAGTAAATTCTGTTTCAGGAAATATTTTGGTGGATACTAAAAATAAGCATCTGTCATTTCGTACACAACTTTTTACTAATTGGAGTTTAAGCTACTAATTTAAGATAACTTCTAAATGAGTCTACATGAGAAAAAGTTAATCAGAAAAAGTAATTACTTCTAATCTCTCCTATTTGACAAAATTATGTATTTACAAACTTTCCAATACCTTACTACTTGTTCTGCCTAAATACTCTAAAGCTAAACAAAAGCTTCACACTGCAAAAATAAAGGTTCATTCATCTAAAATTATACAGTAATCTATATTTGACTTATAATAAATGTAAATTTATACACCCATCTGCAACATTTGCAGAAAAAATCTATTCCTCTGTATGTGATGATAGAGATTTTAACACTTATATTCTGATACTAAAGTATGGAGTAATTTCCCAATTAAGTTGCCTGAAAATTATTATATCTTCTTGGATGCATATTGGATAATTACGTTTGTATCATGACTGGTTAAAACTAGAGGTTTACCTTCATATTTATAGGTTTTTAAAGGCTTATTGGCCTATTTTGAACAGAAATAAAATACAAACTACTAAACATTATGGCACACAAGGTCTAAAAAATGCCAATTCTTTCACTGTTATAAGCCTTCGTGAAATTTCTCAGAGTGAATGATATTCAAACCTCAGTTTACGAAAAGTGATTCAGAATATGGCAGTAAGTTTTTCTTTGTTAAAAGCCAGATGCTTTACTTCGTGATTACATTAACACTTTCAATGTGGGCTCGGTCAATTTGACTGACCACATGACCTTTTTGTACTCATTTAAAGTCTTTATACATTTAATATTTATAGCTCTAAAAATAGTGGATATATTTTCACATAATTTGGCAGTCTTTCAGTTAATATTACAAGTCTTTCACATACAAAAACTCTTTTTTCATAATGAAGATTTTAAATAAAATAAAATACAGATTCGTCCATTAATATATTGAGTATTTGTTTTGAATAGACTGTGTGCAAAGTAATTTCATGTTAAAATTAAAAATACTTTTCCTCATCTCAAAAACCTCAAATTTTCTTTGTGTAATCCCTAAAAACTCCTAAATGCATTTCAAACGGTTTTTCTCAGTAAAACTTTATAGTTTATCTGTTATTTTTTCTACCCTACCTCAAAATGGGATCAGTCAATTCTACCGACCTCGTAACCACCAAAAAAATAAAAAAATAGAAGTAAACCTAAATTAACCTTTTTTCTTGTAAGTTTCTTAAAATTTATGCCATAAATCCTGTTGTTAGATTTATAAATATGCACTACCGGTACTCGTGTTTAAAATTTTTTAAATTATAATAAATAATTAAAAACAACGTTTTATATTTACACAATAAAAAATTTATTAAAGCCCTACGGCTTCCAGTTTAAAATAGAATTTGTAGAGAAGATTAAAAACATAAAATTAGAAAAGGAAGACTTATTGGTATCATTTGATGTAATATTGTTGTTTACTAAAATGCCATTAGAGGACATTATTAGATGTTTTGAGAATAAATTCACAGGAAACAGAGTACCAACAGTTGAAATTATAGATATATTGAAATTAACAAAAGTATGTGTAGCTAGTAAATAATCCATTTTTTCAAGTTAATCAAAATTATTATAAACAGAAAGAGGGTTTATCTATGGGATCCCCCTTGTCACCATTGTTATGTGACCTTTATATGGATATTTTTGAAAATGAAGCTTTGAATAATGCTAAATTTAAGCCAGAAGTTTGAATAAGATATGTAGATGACACATTTGTGGTGTGGCAACAGCAAACTACAAGGATTTTTTAGTTATTCAAATAGTAAAGAACCAGCAATTCAATTCACGTGTGAAATTGAAGATAATAATAGCATTAATTTCTTAGACGTATTAGTTAGGAAAGAAGCAGAAGGTAACTTAGAAACATCAGTTTATAGAAAACCTTTAGCTGTTGTTATGCCACCACACAAAGAATCATATTATATACAAACCCAAAAAATATCAGCATTTTATACATGTGTTTATAGAGCTTTAAAAATATGTTCAAGACAGGAAGATATAAATAACGAATTGTTATTAATTAAGTATCTAGCT